GCCCAAGCGGCAGAAGTTGCCACGCAGCTGGCGTGCGTCAATGACGCCGAGCCTGTCGCCGGCATATCTACAAGCCCTGTCCACGGCGGCTCTGTGTCCGCCCAGCAATGCCCGGGTGCTGACTCCGCCGTCTGTGGCAACCCTGGTGCTGACTCTGGTGCCTCATTAGAAGCTATTGACCAAGAGCCGCATCCACCGCCAAGTGATGGAATTTGCTGTGCCTCGGCCGTCATGGCCGATGGGTTCGTGGGGTATCAGAATCTCCCTATGCAACCAACGCACGGCGCTACCGCGACGACGCAAGCTGGCCAGGAATTTCTAGCCAGCGCTGTTGACCCGCCAGCGGACGTCTGCAACGCCTCGAACGACAGCAGTCTGTCCGTGGAGCTGTCTACAGATGCCGCGGTTGCCATTGGCCCATTGCCGGAGGCTTCGGATCCTGCGACGGTTCCTGAGGTCGAGCAGCCACCCGTTGGTCACATGGCGACAGCACCACTCGTTGCCATCAGCGAGGGGGATGAGCCAACGGTCGCCGCTGCCGAGTTAGCAGCGCCATCCGTTGCCGATCCTATCTCAGTGGGGTTGGCACCAATGGCACCTAGCACAGAAGCTGAAGAAGACCAGCATGTCTTCATTTCCGGACAAAGGGATGAACCAAGCGCTGTTTCCAACCTGCTAATGGCGGAGCAGGACGTCGACATGGAGGACGCGGGTGGCATCACTGAGGACGCGTCCAACCTATCAGACCAGCTACCTGGCGCCGTGCTGGTACAAGATGACATAATCGGATTGCCAGGATCGCCTCCAATTGCCGATGCCGGCCCCATGGTCGTGCCGGCTGCAGCAGCATACAACCCGGAGGTGTTGGAGCTGCAAGACGACATCGCGAGTGCTGCTGCAGGCGATGCCCATCCAGATGATGTTAGCCCACAACCAGCGCAAGCGGAGGTGCTGTTGCAGGCTACCGCCATTGAGACATCTGTAACCGAAGCAGGCGAGGTAGTGGACGAAAGCCGGATTACATCTTGTGTGGCCAGCCAATGCGTGAGTCCGCATCTTGGGCAACACGACCTTTCCACGGGAGCGGCAAAGGAGCCACAGCAGGCTGGCGCCGGCCCGCATGCCATGCCGTTTAATCTTGAGAGCAGTTCCAGCCAAGGTGTCTTGGACGTGGAGAGTGCTCAGCAGGGTGAAGGCGCCGTTGATATTCCGCCTGACGCGCCTGCGCCTGACCGGCAGGCAGAGGAAATGGCGGGGACTGAGAACACGCAATCCATTATTGATGAGCCGCCGTTGCCTGAGCCTGCGGTGCCCACCATGGAGTCTCCAGCATCTGCAGTCGACCCCCTATCTGATCTGCCGGCGGCAGTAAATGATCAGCCCGTCGACGTCGATGCGGACCTTATGGAGGTGGATAGCTCTGTGGCTGTTGCACACCTTTCAATCGCCACGGCGGGCGCGCTGGACACCTGCGTCAAGGGTATGACTGTGGAAGCAGACACCGGCGCGTGCATGTTGGATCACGATTCTCCACCTGCCGAAATTTCACTAGGGCAGGTTGAAATGCAACAGCAGACATCAATTCCGGCTGTCGACCCAATCGATACCTGCATGGCGCCCACTGGCGTCGATGGGAGCACCACGGCAGCCACCGCGGGTGGTGGTACTCCCATGGCGGTTATTCCTCCGACTACGGATGGCGCTGTCCCCGCAGATCTTAATGCTGGTGCGACTGCTGCCGATGTTCACGCCTCACTTCCCAGCGTGTCCGCCCCGCCAGCTCACCCACCTGGTGTTGACGTTCCAATGGCTGACTCCTTGGAGGCTATTGAAGCGCTCTGGGGCAACGATGATCTGCTGGCTGAGCCCGGAAGTGCCACCGCCAACATGCCGATGCCGCAGGTCAGTTCGCGTGTCGGTGGTATGTGCGTGTTGGTGATAGAAGATTTATGCCGAAGTGCAGCAGCCATGAAAGGTTCGACCGCTTGACCACTATGCCCTTCTCGGCCTGCCTGCACAGGTCGCCTCGTCGCCAATGAGTGCCTCCTCAAAGCAAGCGGATTCGCCCGTCCTGCCGCCATCTGGTCGCAAGGTGGCACCGGGTGTCATCTTTCAGGTGCGCTTTCGTCGGGTCTGCTTTCTTCCATGAGTTGCATGGTTGTCTGGATTCCTCTTCAATTGTTACGCGTGATGACTTGGACGTTGCAGGTACACGTTATGTAAGCATTATTCGGATGGCTCGTTGATCTGCTGCCTGTCTGGCACTAAAGTGTGACTCCTTTATTGTGCCGCGTTTAACAAGCGTCGCTGTATGCCCCTGGGTTGCAGGTCGAGCGAGAATCCCTTGATTTGTTTTCTCTGCGCAACTCATGCGCTGCACGGGTCAGTGAAAGCCTGATGGTGGAATCGTTGGATACCTTCGAGGGTATGGGCATCTGCGCGAAGAGTCGAGCGGTCGGTTTCATACCTATGGCCTCTGTGAAGGAGGGCGACGAAGAGGCGGCGGTGGTTGGCCGCACAACCGGCTCTGAAGGTGGATCCGGTCCCGCTTCGGCAGGCCCTCAGTCTCCAAGCGTCACCTTTGCTGTCGACACCAACGGATCACCAGAAACCCTTTCGACCCCTGGCTTAGATGCCGCTGGTTCGGCGGTCACAACTGCTATTGACACCCCTTCGGCTAGCAAGCCAGTCGCTGCATTGGGTATGCGTGGTGGCGCCCAAGCCTTGGCAGCAGCCGCAAACCAGGCCAAGGCGCCAGGATCAGCCCTCAAGGCGGCAACACCGGGCGGCACTGCACGTGTTACCTCAACGCCGTCGACGGCGCTGAAAGCCATGGCTGCTGCCAACGGTGCAGGCAGCGCCGCCAAGGCGGGTGTGTCCAAGAGGCTTCTTCCCGTTGTCGTGCCCCAAGCACGGGTGCCTTCAACTCCCGGACAGCCGGTTGCAGGGCCGACTGGCCCCGTATCAGTAAGCCGACTTCCAGGGCTCGCAACGACGCCAGGCGCCGCCGCGGCCCGTACTGTTGCACCTGTAATGGGTGCCAAGCCGCCAGTACCGGCGTTAGCCATTAGCGCAACGCCTGGCGCCGCACCTGGTCGCCCCGGCGTTACGCCCCGCAGCGGAAGTGTATTCGCTTCGGGTAAGGTGCATCCGCCCGGATCGGGCATCGGCCGGCCGGGGCAACAGTCAGCTGGTCGCTCCGGTGCCGGAACAGCTCTCTTCGACACGCCCCTGATCCTTCGTGCCGCTGCAGTGCCGTTTGCTGATACGCCCTTCTCAGGTAAGGTATCAGGAACATAGCCTGCTCTATCATTTACTCATGGCCACTGTGTATAGGCATGATCCCACGTGCACTATTCTGTTGTCAATATCCCTTGGCGTATAAGTGCGCACATGGCGTTTATCCACGTAGGCTGCGAGTTTGACCTGGACACAGTCGACATATCGGCTGAGGCATCTAAGGCTATTGCGATGCTTGGTGGGGACGCCGGCAAGGCCGTGACCGGCGCCTCCGCTGCAGCCTCGCAACACACAACTCCTGGTATGTATTCAATCTCGCCCTGCTGTAATAATCGTGCTAATTCAGAGCACGCTGAACATTCCGCGTAGCCACATTGCAACTGCAGCAAGCATACGCCTAATTCTTGTCGTGGTTTGGTTCGCGTGCTTGCAGCCCTTGTAGCTGTCCGCGGCGCCGTCCCTGGTACGCCGACACTGTCGGTGCTCGAGACACACGTGCAGCTATTAACCAACAAGCTAGCGGAGGCGGAGGGCAACATCCACCAGTTGCAAGTGGGTGACCTATCAAGTCATAGTTTTCGAGAAAATGCTCGGGAATGCTTGACAGGCCGGTGGGAAATCCTACGGGCATGTGCGCGAAACACAGCATGGCACTCTACATGAACCCTACACTTGGAATTATGCAGGGCGTATACATAGGATTGCGTTGCGTGTACATGCGTCGCTTCCATTATGGCTGCCTGAGACCCTAATGCGCTGCTACAGCGTTTGCAAACTCGCTATCCCAAGGACTTGTGCCTTGGCTAATTCTGACTATGTGCCTGGCTGCCTGCCTCGTGTTTGTAGGACGAAAACGCTATGCTTCGAGATCAGCTATCAACTCTGCAGTTCGAAAGCAGCATGACGGTAAGAGCGTATTCAAGTGCAGTTATGCCGAAGGTCGCAAACGCTAAGAACCTTTACTAAAGGATTTCTTCCACATCTGTCTTTCAGAACGATTTGGACATGGAGCGCGAGGCCCGCCAGTTCTTGGAGCAGGAGCTGGCTGTGGTAAGGCACCGGTCGGATGGCCTGGAGGCGGACCTGCGCGCTGCACATGCGGAGGCCAAGCGCCGGGAGCAGGCGGCCGCGGAGTTGTTCGCAGTCCAGCAGGCCAAGGAGGCGGATTGGGCACGCCAGAAGGCCGAAACGGAGCTGCAGATGCAGCAGGTACGTGCTGTCCTTAAGACGAAACCTTGTTACACCAGCATCAATCGATGCATACGGCTATTGGGCGGACACGTACAGTGATATAAGAATGGTGCGATCCCCCCCTTCCAGATGACGTCGGAGGTAGATGAAGCACGCAGGCTGGCTCAGCAGGCAGGTACTCGCATTGCGGAGGCGGAGGCACGCGCTGCCGCTGCGACAGCCAAGTGTGACGAGGAAACCGCGCGGAGTAGGGAGTTGCAAGTCACGCTTGGCCTCCAGGCACACCAGGTAAGCCATGCGACCCTGGGCCTCAAATAACCTTGCATTTCATTTAGAGCACACCCCGTTCAACCGTCTTCTTGACGGTCCAACTTCCGCTTTTCCGTAGCTCGTACAAGTTCAGCGCGCCCGCGACGATGCTGAGGCGAAGTTCCAGCGAGCAATGGAGCAGCTCATCTCCGCGCAGACGAGCCACAAGAAGGCGGTGAGTGGCTTTGTTATATACGGACGAGCGAATGCTTCAAGCGCTTTCCAGGTTTAGGCATTCAGTCTTGTTTTTTGTCATGCAGGTTGTGGAGTACGAGCAGAAGATACTGCAGTCTAACAATCTGGTTGCTCAAATTAATGACGTCCGCGACAAATACCGCCAGATGAAGCAGCATGCCGCCAATTGCGAGCAGCGGGTGCAGCACGCAGAAGCCAAGGTGCAAGAGGTAGGACATTTGGGTGCCCTGGAGCGCGCTTCCTTTTCGCTTGCCGACGCCGCAGACAAGGTTTTAAGGAAATGAAAATTTCCCCCCTTTCGTTGTGCACGCAGACTGCTGCTGCCCTGGCTGCGGCGAACATGGAGAAGGCCGAATTGATGCAGATGTGCAACGAACTCTTGACTCAGCTGGAGGCCACGAAAGTGAAGGGCGGGCGATGAGGCGCTTGCCGTCGTGTGCAGTTGTGAGCCCTTACACCTGCGATCCATTCCTCAATTCCCTCGTGTATTTCCGGAGCAAAGCCCTGGGTTTCCTTGTTTGTGGGCCCCTCAGTTCGTGCCGTCGCAGGTTACGGCAGCGCGATTTAGAGTCGTTTGGTGTCGTGCTGATACCCCAGGCAGGTTGTTGTGCGATTAGCTGGAACTGCTGGCGCTGCGTTACCACTCGTGACTTATCTTTAGCGATGAAAGCCGGTGGCATCGGGTTACGTCGGGTCCTGGTCTAGCTGGACGAAATGTGTACGGCACCGATAACCGCCGTGCTTAGTAGATGCAACTTGCCGATGCATTTTGTGAGTCCTCAAGAGATGATTGAAATTTAAAGCAGGAGGAAACAGGGTTCCTTTCGTGTGATCCTTTTACTTTCATGAGTGGTTCTGTTGTTCGGCGAATGGTCGGCTAAGGAAAAGCATTGCAGATAGAAACTGCGCTGCTCTAGTTAACAAGGACAAGACTGTAAATGTCAATGGCCTGCGAACTTCGGCCTCGTTCGCTTCTCCCTTCTCGATCTCAAACTCACCCAGACCTAATGTTGACGCCAGACTCCCTTGCCATCAAACTAGAGCAGCAGGTTGGTCATAACGTATTGATGAGTTGAAACAAGCCGCAAAAACGTCGGATTCCATTCTGTTGTCACCTGTACTTCACTCATCGCAGCACCCCGGTTTCAAAGCATGCTTCGGCGGGGAAGAGCTAAAGAGGGCGACGTCAGCCCTTGCTGGCGGAATCGATATGCCTCCCTTGGACGGTAATAAGGTATGGCGACAGTCCTCCTGCCCCTCTCTATCAACCCCAAACCCTCTGGAGCTCCCTCATTCCCTGCCACCATTTCGAACCGCAACGCAAGGGCATATCCGCCGCGTCCGGGGCTACAGCCCAGTCGTCGCGTCCCAGCTCCGGGGGTGATGCGTCCATCTCAGCAATACTTGAAAAGACCTCACATCCAGGCGCCACGGAAAGCGACCTGGTGCTGCGAGAGCTAGCTCTCGCAGCCAACCAGTACCAGCGGTCGGAGGCCTTAGCCGGGCCCAGCGGCCAGGATCACGAGACGCTCTACAACCATGGACTGGTATTACAGGAAATGGCGGCGAAGCTAAACAGCTGCCCGGCAGACCAGCTAAAGCTGCTGCAACAGGTAGGCTATGCAAAACCTCGGGCCCCGCCGCTGGCACCGCGCAGGGTTGCATGAGAAGCTTGCCGGCCACTTCCGCGCTGGTTACAGTTTATTAGGGGCCGGGGCTGGCAGCCGGCCGCGTGGTGGCATATTTCTCCGGAACCGCATCCTCACGCCGCTATGCCGGCATGCCATGTAGCACCCTTGCAGCAAGGCATGCTTCCGATACGCTGAAAGACGATTGGGAGCGCGCCGGACGATAGAGCACGCATGGATGCATTGGCGACGGGGAAGCTGCCCCAGCTACTACCATTTGGTAAAAGATCACGGGGACCGGGCTGTGTGTGTGTGTGTGTGTGTGTGTGCGTGCGCGTGCAACATCCGCTAGCATGCCGGCTCTTCCCACCGGTATGACCCCGGTGTCTGATGCCCTAACGTTTTCTCACGAGGTCGGTCCCAACCAACGGAAGTGCGCAGACTGTCCGAATAGCCCTTGTCGACTCACCCGCTGTCTCTTGCTGATGCCCTGTTTTTGCAGGCGTGTGAGCTGTACGCCTCGGCTGCTGCTGCACGGCCGTCCTCTCACAACGTATTGTACAACTGGGGCGTGGCGCTGTCAGACCTCGCACGACTGCTCAGAGACACCCAGCCCGCGGAGTCGTTGAGCTTCCTACAGCAGGCAAGTCCGCCCGTCCATCCGTCCTCCGCTGCCGTGGCGGGTGCGGCGGTGCAACTGCAGCTTTAATGATGATTTCATGATGTGCCTCAGCCCAACCAGCTGCTCAAGCCACATGCCCTTGTAGACAAACAGTAATGTTCGGCTGGAGTGGGTGACGCACTGCACGCGCTTCATTGCTCGTTCATCACGACCGCACCCCACCTTGACACATTCACGGCGCCCTGCCCGGTATGTGGTGGTGGCATGTATACCTTTCACTTGACCCCCTCCGCTGGGAAAGGGACCGGAGGGTGAGCCGTGTGTACCCCGGAGGTTGTGTGTACAGCGCAGTGACTGGCGCGGATGGTGTCATTAATGCTGTCATTGGCCGCCGTGTCTGGAACCCCTGCTCCCCTGTCTTCCTCCCCTTTCCCACACGAGCAGCATCTCCCCCCTTCCCGCTCCATACACACACACACGCACACACACGCCCTCATGCGTTCCTTCTTTCCTGCCGAGGGCTCCGACAGGCCAGTCACAAGTACGCGGGCTCTCTTGACTTGCAGCCCGGCAACCCCCAGGCGCTCAACAACTGGGGGTTGGTGCTGCAGGTGGGCATATGGGGCAGGGGCCCTGGCTGGGAGGAAATGGCCAGGCCATATGGCTGGTTAACTGACTGACTGAGGAGCCGGCTGGCTGGCTGGCTGGCTGGATGGATGGATGGATGGATGGATGGATGGATGGATGGATGGATGGACGGACGGAAATGTAGCAGGGTGGCTTGCTACTGATAGATGTCGCATGGTGGCACATGGACGGCTTGAGGGACAGTGCTGACCAAGCCGATGGGGTAATTGGCCATTGGAATTAGTCAACGGAGGCGTCATCATGTGACTTTGTGCACCTCGCCACTTCCTGATGTGCTCCTGACTTTGACTTTGACTTTGTGCAGTTTTCCTCTTGCACCACCACCCCCGCCCACGCCACGCCCAGGAGATGTCCGGCCTGGCGCAATCGGCTTCAGAGCGGGACCAGCTGGTGTCGTATGCCCTGGAAAAGTTCCGCCACGCGATTCGGCTGCGACACGACTTTGACCGCGGCTGCTACAACTTGGGCACAGTGCTGTACACGTACGCATGTGCCGTACAAGCCGAGCTCGCGGCAGAGCTGAAAGGTAGGACCCAACAGGAGGTGCGACCTCCTCCCCCCCATGCTGCTGCTGCTGCTGCTGCTGCTGCCACAGGGCGCTGTGTGGTGCCTGGAACAGGTCCTGTCGGGCCGTTGGTCGTTTGGTTGTTTCCATTGGTCGGAGGGAAACCCCGTCCGTGACGTGGACAGCCCACACCAGGGATTCACGTACCGATGCTGTCCGCATGCGGGATTCAAGACCAGCGCCGTGCCGCGGCCCGCCACAGCGTGTGCGGCCATTGCTGCCACGACCCAGCCGTAGCCACAGCTCCGACGCCGCGGCCCCGCCGCGCCGCTGCTCTCCTCCACCGGCTCACCTTCCTCCCTGTCCGGGTGCTACCTTCGGACTACCTTGCAGTCCTTGCGTGAAGGAATGAAGAAGCCGCTGACACTGCTTTCCATCTTCCCTGCTGCCCTCACCTCGTCCTTCCTTCCCACCACCTGGCCACAGCCGGGCGCCTGACAAGTCCGGATGCGGCTACCAGCCGGGAACGCCACCAGCGAGAGACCCGGACTAGGGGCCTCTTCACCGCAGCTGCGCAGTACATCTGTTTGGCAGCCGCTTTGCAGCCGGGGAGGGACATCTACCGGTGAGAGCTCGCTTGTGTGCTTGGGTTGTGTTGTGTTGGGTTGGGTTGTGTTGGGGGGAACGGGGAGAGCGTTGCTGAGGAGGGGAACTGGGGAACTGTCGGACATGATTTAAAAAAGGAAAACACCTCAAGAAGCCGACTGCCGGCGCACGAGAAAAACGTACGTGTATGCGACACGGTCCGGCAGTGGAGTGTCGGGTGTTGTAAACCTGACAGCTCTTGACGACTCCTTCCTCATGACACGTGCTCCCGTTGCGTTAGTCTTTCAAATGCCGTCCCCATTTCTCCACAACCTGCTGCTCCTCCCTGGGAGGCCGCCTCCATTTCCTCTGGCCCCGCCTCACCCTCGTGGGGCCCTGCTTGGTGGTTCCGTACACCCCGAGACACACACACACACACGTGTTGCTGCACAGGCGGTCTCTGGCGGTAGTGAAGCCGCTGCTGCCGCTGCCCTTCCTGCGCGCCGGCTACCTGATGGCCCCCCTGGCCCACACGCTTGGCTCAGCGGGGGAGATGTGGCGCCGGGTTTGGTTCGTGCTGGACCACACGTCCCTCCGCTCGGCTTCAGATTTAGAGAGCTCCCTCAGCAACACCGCCACGGGTGACGGACGGGGAAAGAGGGGGATGAGGGGGCATTGAGCGGGATGGGGATGGGGGCCCGGCGTAGGGGATTAAGGCTCACGCAGACGGAGGGGAAGGTGGGACGGTACGTGCAGGAGCGCGAAGGTTGCATGGTGGACGAGTCAGGGGATTTGGATACGGGTACATACGTATGTATATATGTAGGTATGTATGTATGTATGTCCCCATAGTGTGCTGTCCACTGGTAATGAGAAGACGTCGGTTGGGAGAGGTTTTAAACTCCAAAGGCGCTGGAAGGGAGGTTGGGGTGCTCGCCCTTCCCCCCACCTTCGTGGTTCGTCTTTCCCCCTCTCCCCCTGCGTCATCGCTTTGGACTCCAGCAGCAGCAGCTTGCTACTTCGGGACGTCGGCACTGGTTTTCCCCTCTCACTTGGCTTGGTTGCCCTCCGCGTAAAATTGTCCCCATCGTGCGGGGGCAGAGATGGAGGAACGCGGGGATGTCCGGAGGGCTAGGGGCTAGGGACTCGTGTGTACCCCCGTGTACGGGGTGAACATGCAACTGCTGCACGACGGACAAAGACCCTGCCCGGTGCATCCAGGTGTTCCCAGTGCTAGCACCGTCGGCTAAGAGACACCCTAACACACAACCGCCCTCCCAACCCTTCACGCCCAGGCTCTCTGCCCAGCTCGCAACCCACCTTGAGGGTCGGCCACGCGGTCGGGGAGGTGCCCCTGGTGGTGCCGCTGGGGGACGTACTCGCGGTGCGCAGGTGGGTGAGCTCGGCCCGCCGCCGAGCAATAGCTCAACGTGGGCGTGTCAGGTGTAAACCTGCCTCGCGCCGTAGAGAAGACGAAACCATCGGCGACACCTGCCGCCTCCGAGGCCTAAGTCCCCAAGGCCCCAACCAGCCTGTTACCCGCACCTCACCCGCTCATTTAAACACATCCCCCCATGCATGAAGTTGTGCTGGCACCTTCTGTCGGTTTGGAGGACAAGGCAACCTGTTGGTCAGGAAAGACAATCATGACGAGAAGGTATTCCATGCCCACTGTCGCTCGCACCGTCCATCACACAGCACATCGCCCTTGCTTAGCCCCCCGCATGGTGCAAATCTGCTCTCTTGTGCGATGTCCCACCCTTGCTATGCACCACCGCCTCGTCCCCGGCTCACACCAGTTTAACCTCCTGGCCTATTCAGGGTGAACGATCCGAGTTTGCCTGAGGGGGAGGCCTTGTGGCTACAGCTCTCTAGGCCGCTAGGCAGTAGCATTAGCAAGGGTGTGGGCAGTTTGCAACCGCAACTGCAATCTCCACCGCAAGGCTCCTTCAGGGACTGGGAAGCAGGACCTGTAGCAGACGGCGATGGCGGCAGTAGCAGTAGCAGTGCTATGGAGGCGCCATGCGCGCAGCCTCGTCTATGTGTATGGCTGGTGGCGGACGATGTGGACAGCGCTGATGCTTGGACTGATGCGTTGTTATTAGCTCAGCATGTTGTGAAGAGCAGGTCGCCGGGGGCGTTGGCCGAGGCATTGATGCCGGTGGCAGCGGGCGGAGGACGCGGGCCGAGCGGTGGGGGTGCCGGAGGTAGCGGGGAGGGCGGGTTATGGATGTACTGAGGGGGGTCTTGTCAGGAGACGGTTCCGGGTTTCCTTTTCAGAGGTGCGTTTTCCGTGTATAGGTGGTTCGAGCATTCTTTGGGAAGAGGGAGAGTGTTCTATGATTGATGTCTAAAGTGCATCCGACAGGTTACATGTGATGCTGTTCTGCGAGGACCCCCGGGTAGTGCGACCTGTTGTGACGGTGCTGGAGCGGGGGTGTTCATTTGGTTGGAGTGACCACTGTCTCTCCTTCATGGGGGCCATTGCATATCCTTAAGGTTAGGTGGAGGAGCGCCTGCGGCTTGGCTTGCTCAGCCACATGGCGACGGATGATCTTAGGCGCAGGTACAGTGAAGATGTACGAAGTGCTGGGAAAGGGTTTTACGTGTTTTGTTAGAATGTATTTTTTCATCTTGAGGACTCGATGATTGTCGTGCTGGACCAGACACTGTTATGCCGATGCCGTTGACGCGTGACAGTTGTGTAAGGAGCTTGGGAGTACTTGATAATCTCGAACACGCATACCATACTCGTTTTCGTTGCTTTGACATGGGTTGCAGTGTGCGCTTGAGTGTTCTCAACCTTTCGACCTGCTTAGAAGGTTTTCACCATGTGGCTTTGCAGGCAGAAGGAATTGAGAAATATTTTGCACAAAAAAACAGTAGATCTGGTAAAGGATTAAAAAATAAGCAACGACCGGTTATGCGCAGAATCGCGAAAAGTGCAACGGCGAGATATTTTTGTGATTTTCACTTTATGTAAACAATCAACATTATGCATCGATTAGTATAAATGGGTAAGCTAACAAGATTAAAGCAAAGTCGTATGTAGGACGCGCGGCATTGCTTGATGGAGGATTAGCTTCAGTTGTGTCGCACCGCGAACACTGTGTCGTACCATATGTTTCTATTTGGCCATGAATGCCTTCTGAATCGTCATATTGAACAGAAGAATACATGCATCGCTTGCTGAAGTGTTATTCCTAGGCGAGGTGTGACGCGGCGCAGCTCATCCCCTTCCTAGGAGAGGGTTCAGAGCGCGAGCACACGGCGGGAGCGAGCTTTCACATTTTATACTTCACGGTTCAGCCTTCACGCTGTCCTCAAGCCAAAGGGAAGAGTGCCAACTATGCACCGTGGCTGCCTTGGGGCCGGAGCTGCCTCCGGACACCCAGTCAGCTGCGCTCGTTTGCAACAAGTCCTCGGCAGCTTGCACTTTCAAAGGTATGTCTTGCTTTGTAGTTATCGGGCGGTAACTTTCGCTTAGACGGGCTATCTTAACGCGTGATGCGCGGGCTCTGTGATGACAAACTTTAAGCGAATCTTACGTTTGGAGTTGAGCCCGTTGTTGTAAGCTTACATGGTTGTGGACCCTGACCTTTCCTTTGGCCAAGCAAAGCGTTTAGATGTGGAACCAAGGACGCAGCAACTTCAGAAGCAAAGGTTAAGGCCCATCCTCACGCAACATGAAGCAGCAACTTTATCCCGTCACTTGCTCATAGTAGTAGTGTTTATAACGCTGCGTGACGAGCGTTGGCGGCGGGGCACTTCCCTTCGCAGGGCATCAAACTTGGTACTCCGAAATTGCGGGAGAGCACAGCCGCTAGAATCATGCTACGTCCAGCCACATGTGCCTCGGCTTCATAAACCAGGACACGAGCGGACAGCGGTTGGTGTCTGCGCATCAATGCAGCGCGCTACCGCAAATTCTGCATCAACTGTGACGTCTAGCCTAGCGCAGTTTAATATGGTGAGTGGACACAAGAACTGCCACTGGACCGCTTGGCTTCTTCTAACAGTTGCCTCCTTGCCTGTCCCCTTTCTGTTCTCTTTTTCAGCTCACGGAGTGCGGGTCGCCCCCCTCAGCTGCCGATGTGCAAGAGGTGCTCCCGCATTTGACGCCCAAGCAGCTCGCGGACGCTGTTTGGTCATTTGCAAAGCACGATGTGAAGCCAACGCCTGACCTGATGGATGCAGTCGCGCAGGAAATACATAGCAAGCTTGGGCAATTCAGGTAAGCGGGTTTGAATCTAGGATGAACCGTTAATCTAATTTCTTCGTTACGATTGCCTTCTTGTTGCATTACCCCCACGCACCTCAGGGCTCAAGACCTAAGCAATACGTTGTGGGCGTTCGCGATGTTGAAGTATAAACCGACTGAACAGTGGTGGCAGGATTTCGAGCGGCAGGTGCGCCCTTTCCTGGGAGGGGACGACACTAGTTATATGACACCCCTTCCCTGGTACCTTGTTACACCTACTCCCCTTGGTGCATAAGTTACATGTTCTTCGGTTCCGGTGGTATCTCTCCTTGGACAAGGGACAAGCCGTCGTTCCCATAAGACTTACTGTGCACCACAGATTACCATGCTATTTGTAAAACCCCAATAAACTGCGCTTTTGTACATCAAAAATGCGAGCGCAAAATGTGTCTGAACTTCATGGGCGTCCGCAACAATTTGGCATATGCTTGCATTCCTTCTTGCCTCCCTTGAGTTCACGACGGGTGCCACAAACCAGGTCACCGTACCTCGCCTTTCTTGCCGCATAACGTTTCTCAATGTCGGCCCTCCCAGGTGTTTGGTGCGCTGACGGACCTTACGGACCGGGAACTTGCCAATCTGTTGTGGGCCTTCGCGGTGCTGGAGCGCCGCCCCGGGCAGCAGTCGCAGCTGCACCAGCAGCCACCACAGCAGCAACAGCAGCAGGCTCACGTGGCCCCGTCCCAGGGGGACCCTGTGGAGGCATCATCGCGACCTGTCCACGCCGAAGCAGCCGCAAACCTGTTTTCCAGCAGCCTGACAGAGGAGACGGAGGAGGCGGCAGCGGCGGGCTCGGCTGATCAGGGGGTGTGGACGCCTGGTCCTTGGCTACATATGTCTCCTCCTAGTGGCGGCCCTGAGCTGCGGGGCTGGGTGCTTGACCCCCTGCTGGCGCATAGCTGTGCAGGCGGCTTTGCGGGCTACTCTGCCACCAGTTTGCATCTGCTAGTCTGGTCGCTGGGCAAGTTGCATTACACGCCGCCAGCTGCTTGGCTGGAGTCTTTCCTGCCGGCAGCGGAGGCGCACTTTTTCCGCTTTACACCCACCGAGTTGGCCAATATTATCTGGGCGCTGGCCAAGCTGGGTAAGCAGAGGCCGTTGCTGTGGCCTTGTGTGCGCGTCTCTTTGGGTTTACATGGTTGTGTGCAAGCCAGGTGGCCCGCTATCCTGCCCAGTTACCTGGCGCATCGCACTAGGCACGTTGTTCATGATGGTACTGGGCTGGCTCTTTCCTCATGCGGCCCTCTCCTACTTGCCTTTTCCCCCTCTTTCCCTCTGTCGCTGGCCTTCAGGCGCCCGGTTGCCGTCTGAATGGCTTGACAAGTTGTTGCTGGTGGCTCAGTGGCGCTTCCCGTCGTTTCCAGCTCGCTTGCTAAGCATTGTGGCATGGAGCACTGCTACCCTCAACCATCGGCCGCAGCAAGAGTGGCTCATGTGTTTCGAGGAGCAGGTGAGCACGCGGCTGCGCCGCAGGAGGTACACACGAGCCCTTAGCGCCATGGGCGGGCTGTCATGCCGTGGTATTTCACTCGCGGTTTCTCCACTTCTTGAATTTCACGGACTTGACGTTCCGTCCACACTCTCCGCCACGCCTTTACTACCCTCCACCCCCGCCAGGTCCGTGCCAAGTTCCTGGACTTCAGCGGACATGAGCTAGCATGCGTGGCTTGGTCGCTACGGCGATTTGGCTACTCGACCCGTGACAACGCTGTGTTCTACATGCTGCAGAAGCAACAGCACTTCTTGGCAGCGGACTTTGAGATTCTGTCGAATCCGAAGCTGCTACGTCAAGTGCTGGGTTGGAAGGCCTCGGTGCGGGGCAGCAGTGAAGGGTCTGATGTGGAGGGTGGCGGCGGCAGCGGCGGCAGCAGCAGCAGTGATTGGAACCGCAGCGGCGACGGCGGCGACAACAGTTTTTGACATCGTCAGGAAGTATCATCAAGTCATTGTGGACAATGGCCGAAGGTACCACACACTACTTGAACAGACATGGTGTGTCTGCGGGGAGAGGGGAAGAGGACGACGAGATGCCCCGCGCCTGTTCCGTTGCAGCCTCACCTTGCCTAGCATGGCTTGGCTTGGCATGGTCTCATCTCTGCGACGGCTCTCCGCACGTCTCTTGGAGATTATAATCTACCCACTGCTTGGAAAGCCATCCGCTGCAAAGCCTGCGTGAATGGTGCCTGCTCCGGTTTTTGTTCTCAGGGTACTGACTGAGGTAACGAGGCTATGCGTGTCGATTCGCGCCGAGTCGCACGTCTGGCCCACTTCAATGCTGGCTGGGCATTCCTTACATGATTCACGGAGAAGAGACCCTGCTTGGGCCGTTTCGCTTTTTGTCGCTCGCGGTGCTCATACCAATCTTTGCCTGGCAGCTGGCAAGCCGTTGCCTGTTTGCTGCCGCATGGCACAGACGGCCACACAGCGCTGCCGGCGACGGGAGATTGCGCTTCGTCGCCCTCTATTTCCTCGGGGATCTGGTCTCTAGGTTTGGTAACAATGATCTTGGGCTGAAGTGTGGTGCTTGTACCGTTGCGGGCAGCGATGCCCCTTGCAGGGCAACCTCAATCAAGGTTGAGATGTTGGTGCAATCAGGGTGGAAGCCTACGTGGTGACGGTGCGTTGGCTCCGGCAGTGCCGAAGTTGAATTTTATCGTGAATATGGCGTTGGAAGAGGGCATGGGCGTTCTGTTGGGAACGACAGAGTAAAGAGCAGCATTGGAGAGATGCTACTACTATTGTCTGTCGCGGTTTGCCTTGTACAGCTTGGAAGGTGTTGGCTGTGTTGAGTTTTTGCGAGGACCGGGTTGTGAGGCTTGGTAGGGTCCTCACCAACCTGTGTCGTGGTCGCCGTACTACAGACGGTGTACGTGAGCTTGTTTCGTTTGTGCGGTGCGACCCCGAGTCACGTCAGGGCGCGAGGGAGGGGCTGGGAGCGGTTGGTACAACCGCACTGCGGCCGCCTGAAGTCTGAAGTACACGAATGCGATTTGCAGTTGTTGAAGAAATTTGGCAAGAAGAGGGAGCCGAGGAAATATCTTTTATGTTGCCGCGTGGGCTTTAGTCATGAACACGTGGAGGTTTAATGCGAGTCCTGTTTAGCAGCAGTAATAGGGGCTTTGGAGAGATTATTTTGGATAGTTCTTTGGGCGGTTACGCGCGTCTAGAGAGTCAAGAGAGCCGGAATTGTGACAGGTCTGCTTGAGTTCTTAAGTCTAGTTGTAGTTGCACACCCCAGGGCTGCTGTTTTTTGCCGCCTGCGTATGGCTTTTCCCTCTGCACCACGGCTTGTACTGGCACTCGCTTAGGCTCTAGTGGCCTAGGGCTTGCATAACCCAGCGTGAGGTATCACCCAGCCTGTACGCGACGCAGTGGCAATCTTGTTACATAATAGAGAGAGCCTTCAGCCCGTTGGCAGACACTCCCGTACTGTGGGATGGCATGGGTTCTTTGGGATAAGCTGGAGAGGCGTGGCGTTTGCGTCTTCACCGAGCCCTACATGGACTATGGCTCCGAAGGTGGGAGCGGCCATTATCTCTTGGCGGCGGCTTGGCTGCCACATGTGGATACGTGAGCGTGCATCGTATGGAGGAGGCATGGTTGTTTTGTCTGGTTGCGATGCGCATGTCCGCTGTACAGCTTGCTGGCTATGTGGCTGCCTGGGTGGCGTCTTGCTGTCTCGCTGACAGACTGCTCAGAGGCGGGTCGACTGGTTTCGTAATGACATACAGAAGTGGGTTAACAAACGCCTTAACACCGAACAGGTTGTGTGGGAGGAAGCACGGTTATCCTGGCTAGCTAGTGTTGGGTGAGGAGCGGGCAATGTACGTCCAAACGGTGGTGCACGCAGATGGTGGCCTGTGGCTTGAGGCGCGCTGAGCAGGCTTCACGCTTCCGCCTTAAGAGTTGGCCTGCACGTTTATCGTTCCTCTGTGTTCACACACGCTTTGTTTGGCCCTTGGACCTTTGTATGGTCAACCGGTAGAACGAGTCGCGGCGTATTGGCGCCAACGCCATTCCTGGTGTGTCTGTCACACTTGGAAATGAAGAGAATTTGTTTGCCTGAACCAGCAACGGGGTCGCACTTTCTCATGCTATGCGAGGTACGTCGGCGGAAGGAGGAGCGGCGACGCGCACGCCTGGGATTCTGGTGTCGTTTGCGCTGACCGCTCCTGCTTGCCGATCCGTGTCTCTTGCATTGCTCAATGGCTGTGTCTGCGCGCTGTTTCTTCCCGGTTGGAACTTCTCGTGATGGGTAAATCACATGATGGGTAAATCACCTCGTGCGGTTTTACGCGGGTCCCACCAATCTTTGCATTGGTCTTTGGACTGTCGTGAAACGCTTTCTTCGTTCAAGATAAGCTTCTCGTTTGGCCTGCCCTTGGCGCTTGGAAGGTAGGGCTTGGGCTAGATAGGAAGGCCTTGGCATGTGTGGGGGGGAGAACGCTGTGGTATAATGCTTGCAGCAGCAGCGCAATCAAAAGCGAATGGTGCAAGCTGTAGCTACGAAGCTGAGTGCGTTGTAATGGCCCCCTCAGGTTATGAAAGCACGCGTCAGGGGCCACATTACATGTGCCTCAGCTGAGGGAGATGGTTATACCTGTTCTGTTGCAGTGGCAACGCCGCAAGTCGAACCGCAGATGTATCAGTGTTAACGTTTGAATAGTTACTGGGCGGTGAATGATGATTTGTTGTTGGCAAAGTAAGTTCCAGATGTTGACGAATGGTGCCCGGAGTATGGCGCGACGTTTTGAGAGAAGAACAAACGCAGGCTGTTGGCAAGCGCACCTTTCCCCCGGCGCGCTTATAGCCGGCGGACGTTTCCTGTATCTTTCATTGGTTGTTTGAATACGACGTTGCAGCTGTGGAGACAAGGCGGCGTAGCCTTACTTGCATTGGACGCAGAGTCGTAACAGGTTTAGTCACGGAAGTCATTGTTTGGTCTTGTGCCAACCGTTTGGATGTGTATTGTAGGAGCTAGATTGATGGCTTCCATTTAGGGTGGCCGTGGTTGTCGTCCTCGAGAGTCTGCGGCATGCTCAACGGATTCTTCTTTCTCGCCCCCAATGCGTTGTTCGTCTTCTCCACTATGCAGCCGCTCTTCGTCTGCACTTTCTTGCAGGGCGGAGTGGTTATGATGGCGTTGACGCGGGGCAGTCGGGTGTGCAGTGCGGTGTCCATCACACCAGAAAAGGCATTGACGTTGGCCCTTTGTCGGCGTTACCCAAACGACCTGTCGACTCGGGTATTATTTCTTGCCAAATCCAGAGCCTGCCGCGTTCTCAAATGTTCAAAATGGTGGCGGCGTTGTGGCTGCCGCGTTTGGCGTTCTTTTCGACGGCATTGAGTATGTGTGTCCGTCTTGGTTGCGTCAGAGTGTTGAGAGGAGGAGGGCGTCAATGCGCCATGGCGAAGGCTCCGGACGGTGGAACAAGTGCTACGGACGGCTACTTGCTCGGGCAGCAGAATGGCTAACCGGCAGCTGTTAATGGGCGTTGTGCATGTATGCTGCGTGTGTGTATTCCTTTTCCCTGTACAAAGAAGCGGCAAGCTGCCGCTTTGTGTTGGCTTCGTCGGCGCGTGATTTGCCTTTGTGTGTGTTCAGAAGATGGCGTCCTTTGGCGGTTGGTGGCACTTGGTAGCAGCCATAGTAGGATAGGCCTATACTGCACTAGTGGACTGGTTTGGCGTTAGTGTTGCGTACATTTATTTTTAGGATCAGTAGTTGAAGCAGCTGATAAGCGGATGGGGCCGTCCAAGCAGCAACGTAGCAGCTAGGGCTGTACCTGGTTGTTTCCCTCCCCGTGTGAGGAGTCACATTTGCTTTCCGGTGCTCTTTCCGGACAAAATTTGGCTCGTCAGGAGAAGGGGCAGGCTTAGCTGTTCAATAGGCGGTTGCCTGGGACAAGGGCTGAATCCTGGGCTGCGGTCCCAAGTTTGTTTCCCGTGACCCTGACCGTGGTTGCTGCACATGTCACATGGGATTGACACCGCCCTACCAGGAGAATCCCTTCGCGTTATCTCACGGCACTCCTATCAATCCATCATATCCCATCCACCCCCGTTGTTCATAGTCATATTCCTCCCGCCGTCCATCGGCCGCTCGCCGCAGAGCCATTTGATATCTTTCCGTGTCGCACCTTGTCTTGTCCTCCCGAAATGTGTCGTTATCGTTGCACGTTGCCCCGCATATTGGCAGGGGATGGTTATTCGGCTCAGCGCGGGGCGCACTTTTGCGACCCTCGCTTTTGGCTTCACGTACCTTGGTTTAGTAGGTGCTTGTTGAGGAGGGTTGAAGCCGCCCGCTGCAGCGTTGTGTGTTCGTAGGCTCTTGTCTGCTCCTCTTGTGTCTGCAAAGGAACTGATCGTCTAGGCTGGAAAGCTGCCAGCCCCACAGCTGCCTGATGCTGCTGCAGAAGTTGCGGTTCGAGTAATGGTGTGGGGCCCGGGGCAAGGTGGGGTTAAGGGCTCCGGATGCCGAGCGGGGAGGTGTGCTGGTTCGTTAATAAGCAACTGAAGAGTTGTGGGCGGTAGGAAAGAGCCTCCCTGTTCAGGTGTAGGTGGTGCCAAGCGCTATCCCAGAAGTCATCTGCTGGGTGGTGATGGCGCAGCGCAGGCCGACTGCCAGCTTTAGTGTTACCCCAGTCTGGGAGCTCGCTGCCAGCCGATCTCTGTATGCAGAATTCTTTACTTGCATTGCAGCGCGTACGTCTGTGATTGTGTAGTTGTGTTTTAGTGTGTCGTATAAGATCGTGTGTTGGTCTGGTTACCCGCTGTTGCTATGCGCATAGGTTCAGCTGTGTTTTAGGATATGGTGCCGGTGTGCAATTTGTTTGTTTTGTGTCGTAATCCCTTCTGTCGTAATTCTTTTGTGCATCTAGTCGCTGAGTTGACCAGGTTGCTCCTTTCCCTCTACGACATATTGACCTACTCAGCGTACAGTGTACGGTAAAGACATACTGAGCGTACGGCTTTGATCATTGTCTCCATCTGTAACGCAATCGCATCTGTACTGAAGTTGTTATTGTTAAAAACAAAGCCAGCCTGGCTACAAGTGATTCCTCTGCTGAGTTGTTTGTAGATAGAACACCTTCGTAAGTGTAGTCTGTTTGAGAATCTTGCTAGTTATTAGCATGTCCCACAATCCAGTGCTGGAGCGTTGACGCAATGCGCAGCTGGGGAGCATTGTACTACAAATGAATATGCATCAGCGCCAAATTACATGGCTCACAAACACAATTGTTAAAAGTCTTGCGGTCAGACACCTTGTGGTCAGACGCCAATTTCGCTCACTGCATCGGTCAACCAACGACAAAACAGGCGTCGCGCTCCATTGCTGAGAGGCCGTTTATGCTCTTTCACTGTGGCAGTGGGCCTATACAACCTTCCATTAATTCCACAACGCAATTTATTTAAGGCTCATGGTGGTCACGCAATAGCTGTCCTTTCCTTCAGTAGACCTGGTACTAGATTTGGCTGCTGAAACTGGAAATACGAACGAAAGTTCAAGCTTAGAGACAGTCCGAGAACCGAGAACAATGCAACATTATTCCCGACTTGATTCAATATACAACATGACACGAGCACGGCAACGCCCACGCCGCAGTGCAGACCATGCGGCGCGTGTAAGCATGCTGCTCGCCGCATCGTTCTCCGGGCACCTAGCATGCAGTCTCCCACTGGAACATCATATACATCATAATCACCGATACTATTATAAAAGACTTCTAATTCTGCTATCGTGCAAAGGAAGTCGGCTTACTCGTGTGCATAAGGCTCCATAATCCTCACAGAGAGAGAGCATACAAACCCATCCGAAGAACCGCGAAACACCATCAGTGGCAAGGCAAAACTGTTGGATGCGTCGACAGGATCATCGTCGTCTGCAAACGCGACAGCCTTCTGCATGCCTACACCTCAGTCCTCTCCACGCATCCTGTCGACAACGATAATACAGACAGACAGACAGACAGACAGACGGACAGACACACATCTTATTGCAACGGCTGGATTTGAGCTTGAATGCGCGAAACGTCACCTAATAAACATTGCCATCTCAAGTGCCAACAACAACATTAAAGGCCATTAGCGTAGTTACCGACATATAGACGATTCACATTTTCTGCTTTTACATCTTAGAACTTCATTCACCATGAAACAGATATCAATCTCACGACGTCAAGTCAACAGTGCAACAGCGGCAGAAAGTAGCCCCTCAACATCAAAGGCTTGGATTGCAACGAACTAAATGTGTTAGAACAGCAGCAACATGCAGCAGGACGGCGCCCCGAGCAAGTTTAGGACAAAGAGCATCATGCGCGAAAAACCTCAGCAAACAGCACTGGCCCATATGCGGCGATCAGCACTACGAGAGGCGGAGGAGTGATGGGAACGGACCAACCTTGCCTGTCTATCTATCCACCTATCTAGCTAGCTAGCTAGGGACAACGCTCTTGAAACTGGCGTGAATTGTACCCACCACCGCCCTCCGATGGGGCAAGCCGCAGCGTGCAAATTGTCCGGGATTGGGGGAAGGAAACGTTGTGAGGTCGGACTCGCACGGGGCAACTGCCGGGGAGGGGCTGGAGGGACGGAAGCCAAATCGCGTGTGTGTACACACACACACACACACTTGTGTACAGCGACTCTCCTCCTACGTTACTACTAAGGCATATGTTCCGCCTCCTGCCTTGCGGATCAATGCTTCACTTCACTCCACAACACCAATGAGCGATCAAAGGCGCAGCACCACTCCATTCCTTACCACACGCCTCTATCAAGCCGCATGTACACAGCTATAACTATGTGCGCAACTGCTAAACATAAGTTCATATCATCAGAATAGCAACTCGCATAACACTCTGATGTGTACGCATCCTAATACAGCGCAGAGAAAGTACACGAAATGCATTTCCATTACACCACCGTTCCACCAACCCGCGAATCCAACGCACGACAATAGCAAACGGCGATACTTTCCGAGTCCGGAACCGGCGGCAACAGAGAGCCAGCGAGCACAACTCTGCGTGGCCTGCGCGGTCTACAGCTATGTGTTTATAACATGTGCCACATAAATGACAAGTCCATCGGCGCACCCTTTAATCACGCGCCAATCGTAGGCACTTCGACGATGAACAAAAAATCAACAACTTGCTCTCTTAAGCAGCTCTTCGGCAGCAGCCCTTCGCAGCCCAGCTGAAAGCCCTACCAAGTCCAAGGCGTATATTTGTACAAAATGTTGGGAATCAACAACCGGGTTGAGTTCGGGCAGCCACAACCAGCTGAAGAGGACTGACGAATACCAGCTACCACACACCACCACAGCGCACGGCCGTCTTCTTCTGACAGCATGGGCGCTGGCTTTGGCCCAGACTTCCCACCGGGTAGCAGAAAGGCGGTCAGCTCAGACCTCCTTAGCTCGGCGTAGCTAAAAACGGGCGGAGAGGACGGCGCGACGAAATGGATATGATACGATATGGTGTGATATGATACAAGGCGCGGGGCCAGCCATCCCCGTTCGCACAAAAAGAAACATGTACACGTGTACGCCTCCTCCTTGGCTGGCTTGAGCCATAAAAAAAGCAATTACGGAAAGAGACGCATCAGCCACTCCCTATCGTTTATTAGAGCGGACGCAATTGACGTCTTCCAAATGGGAGTAGTATCGTGCGTCTGGGGCACGAAAGCACCAACAGCGGCAGACGTGGGCCGCGGGGAAAGGCGCGGCAGGAATGTATACTTTGTCGCATCTGTACCACGGATCCCTCCGTCTCCGCCACTCACTCGCTCACGGGGGGAGAGGTCCTGGACTGCCGTGCAAGGACGCACACCCTCTCCTGTCATGCCGTCCTCTCCCGCCCCTGGTTAAACGCAGCAACAAGAGCACGCAGCAGCGGCAGCAGCTGCAGGACGTCTCAACCCACCCACCCGCCACGCCCTTCCCATTTACAGCATCATCCCCTTCCTCATAACTGTCAGCATGGACCTTACACCGATAGCAGTAGCAGCAGCAGCAGTCCCACAAAAATAGTTTTAACACATTGTGACAACAGATAGCTTTAATGAGCAATGATCATGATAATAATGGCCCCTCATTCCCCCCCCCCTTCTCTCTTCACCACTGGTAAGTTAATACTCCTGATGCAGCATCTGTCTTCTCCTGGACTATCGTTCGCCAGTGGTTCGCCTTCTTACCCCTCCCCTCCCCCATTTGCATCTTCGCTTCCTCCCGTCTCGTTCGCGTCAGGTTGTCTCTCCGCCTTGCTCCGCTCCTCCCCCCAACAGAACGCCGCCACTCCGCCACACCGTCACAGTTCAACCGTTCAGCGTATGTATTTCTGCGATCCGCACTTCCTTGTGTGCGGACTGCCAACAAGCGACCGATCGATCGGGACAGCTGCCGGGGGAGCAATGGAGGGAGCAATCCTCATCTCATCTCATCCCCACGGGTAAGCACCGCATACACGCACATCCAAACATTTTTTATACATACATACGTACACATTTACACAGAGCCACTTAGGGGCGGAGTATGCTACAAAAGGCCTCCCACTCTGTAACAACAAAAACAACAAAAATAACCAAGCTGCAAGGGATTCATGCAACAGCAAAACCCGATACGTACAGAACATAGAGAACATACAAACATACAGGCAAGACGCTATTCCCTTGTACTGCGTAAATAGGCAAATAGACAGGTAGACATGTCGTCCCCTCGCCACCCCTGCAATGAGGCGGGGTGCAGCCAAGACCTATCGTCTGGACTCGCTTCACCTGTGTGAAATAGGGACTTTGTGGGTTGCAACAGCTGTTAACTGCAACAGCCGAGATAGCTGACATTAGCCCATCTCACACTCACCCTCCTGTGCCACCCGTGGGCTCAGATGATTATGATTATGATCGTAGGGGTGGAAGACGGCACCAACCTGTCCTGTCTGACCTGGCAGTCCGTACTAGCTGAGCGAGGTGCGCAGACGCCTGCGTGCCGCCCAAACTGAAAATCATCCGGCCGTCCTCATGACTCAGCAAATTGCTGATGCTGCTGTTGCCGCTGGCGCTGATAATGATAAAGGTGATTGAAGCCGAAGAATGCCTAACTTGGCAACATACACCAAACAACACCAGCCATGGCAAACAGCTGTACCGGTCGGTCAGTGAGTCAGTCAGTGCCCGTCAGACACCGGGTGGTGAGGATGAGACGCATCCCGAGACGCACGTGACCTCGAGGAAAGCTCATACATCGTTGGCAGTGCCGCCCGTACGGCGGTCTTCACCTGCGCCATCAGGCCTTGCGTGGTCGCCAATGTCGCTACTGCTGCTGTCACCGCCGTCGCCACTGCGGTTCCAATCACTGCTGCCGCCGCCGCTGCCGCCGCCACCCTCCACATCAGACCCTTCACTGCTGCCCCGCACCGAGGCCTTCCAACCCAGCACTTGACGTAGCAGCTTCGGATTCGACAGAATCTCAAAGTCCGCTGCCAAGAAGTGCTGTTGCTTCTGCAGCATGTAGAACACAGCGTTGTCACGGGTCGAGTAGCCAAATCGCCGTAGCGACCAAGCCACGCATGCTAGCTCATGTCCGCTGAAGTCCAGGAACTTGGCACGGACCTGGCGGGGGTGGAGGGTAGTAAAGGCGTGGCGGAGAATGTGGACGGAACGTCAAGTCCGTGAAATTCAAGAAGTGGAGAAACCGCGAGTGAAATACCACGGCATGACAGCCCGCCCATGGCGCTAAGGGCTCGTGTGTACCTCCTGCGGCGCAGCCGCGTGCTCACCTGCTCCTCGAAACACATGAGCCACTCTTGCTGCGGCCGATGGTTGAGGGTAGCAGTGCTCCATGCCACAATGCTTAGCAAGCGAGCTGGAAACGACGGGAAGCGCCACTGAGCCACCAGCAACAACTTGTCAAGCCATTCAGACGGCAACCGGGCGCCTGAAGGCCAGCGACAGAGGGAAAGAGGGGGAAAAGGCAAGTAGGAGAGGGCCGCATGAGGAAAGAGCCAGCCCAGTACCATCATGAACAACGTGCCTAGTGCGATGCGCCAGGTAACTGGGCAGGATAGCGGGCCACCTGGCTTGCACACAACCATGTAAACCCGAAGAGACGCGCACACAAGGCCACAGCAACGGCCTCTGCTTACCCAGCTTGGCCAGCGCCCAGATAATATTGGCCAACTCGGTGGGTGTAAAGCGGAAAAAGTGCGCCTCCGCTGCCGGCAGGAAAGACTCCAGCCAAGCAGCTGGCGGCGTGTAATGCAACTTGCCCAGCGACCAGACTAGCAGATGCAAACTGGTGGCAGAGTAGCCCGCAAAGCCGCCTGCACAGCTATGCGCCAGCAGGGGGTCAAGCACCCAGCCCCGCAGCTCAGGGCCGCCACTAGGAGGAGACATATGTAGCCAAGGACCAGGCGTCCACACCCCCTGATCAGCCGAGCCCGCCGCTGCCGCCTCCTCCGTCTCCTCTGTCAGGCTGCTGGAAAACAGGTTTGCGGCTGCTTCGGCGTGGATAGGTCGCGATGATGCCTCCACAGGGTCCCCCTGGGACGGGGCCACGTGAGCCTGCTGCTGTTGCTGTTGCTGCTGTGGTGGCTGCTGGTGCAGCTGCGACTGCTGCCCGGGGCGGCGCTCCAGCACCGCGAAGGCCCACAACAGATTGGCAAGTTCCCGGTCCGTAAGGTCCGTCAGCGCACCAAACACCTGGGAGGGCCGACATTGAGAAACGTTATGCGGCAAGAAAGGCGAGGTACGGTAGTCGGATGATAACCCCCACAGTAGTGCGGCACAGAGGATTGTACAGAGGAGCAGGGGCTTGGGTCGCACCTGACCCTCGAAGTCGCGCCACCAGGCCTCTGAGGGCATGTACTTGAGTGTTGCGAAAGCCCACAGCGTTTTGCTCAGGTCTTGCCCTCTGCAGGTGTACGGATGTACGGATGCATTATGCATGCAGGTATGGATGTATGTTGGTACTTCGCGGTGGAAAGAGGTCAGCCCCAAATAGGAACAGATACACCGCCATCAGGGGGCCCGCGGGCCCACCTCTCACCCTCCCTCCCACCCAACCCAGCCACAATCACTTACTTGCATTGCGACAGTGAGCTGCGGATCCTCTCAGCCACAGCGCCCATCAGCCCCGTGCTGGGCTTCATGCCGTGCTGTGCAAAGTACCACAGCGTGTCGGTCAGCTGATTGGGTGTCAGGTACGGCAGTAGCCGATGGATCTCGCGGAGGGAGGGAGGGGAGCCGCAGTCCCCCTCCTGGAGCGGAGGAAACCCACGAGGGGGCGGAGGGAGGGGAAGGGAGCGGAGGAAGAGAGTAAGGACGAGCTGGATGTTTCTGTTCCTCGAAGGTGGGAGAAAGGGTGCAGCAGCTCGCCGGGTGCAGGTAGAAACTCAAGGCGAAGGTGTGCAAGGGCCGTATACGGCAAGGCACCACACCGTCTTGTCACGGACGTTGGCCTCACGGAAGTAAGGGCATCCAACCGCCCGTGAAGGTAGGGAGGGGGGAAAGGGGGGTAAGGAAACCCGACAGGCACCTTACCAGTCAGACCAGCAAGCACCAGTTCGGACGAATGGAGTAAAGCTGATGGGTGCTAGGTCGGCAAGCCCTTTACCATGATATGATACCCCAGGACAACCCACAATAATTCATACATATACATACATACATACATACATACATACATACATACATACATACATACATACATACATACATACATACATACATACATACATACATACATACATACATACATACAGGCGTTACCGCCCGAAAGTTTACCGGACGTGAACGCAAATACTCGGGGGTGTGAAAACGGGGGGTTCACAGGTTGAGGTGAAGGCTAATGAGATGAAACACGCGGAAGACCAATAGCAGCAGAAGCGGCACCAGGTCGGAAGGTTGTAAAAGCCAAAAGGATAAAGTTACTGGTTTCGGTTGCACCAGCCGTTGGAGATGCAACTGTTGGATGAGGGCCCAAGCTCACTGCACTGTCCAAATGCCTTGGGTTATGCTAACAGTAAATATAGATTAGAAAGGCTCAGTGAGCCGCGGGACATACCATGCATGGAGGCGCCGATGTCGTTGACGGTGACGAAGATGGATGCGTTTCAATCGCAGCACCGGTCGAGGAGCTTTTGCTTGACGTGCGACCACGCGCATAACCGCTTGGTTCCGACATGAAGTGACAGAAGCTTTTCGCCAGACGTCTGTGGCTGATGTAGCCGTGCATGCAACGACCCGCAGCGTTGACGAGTCTGTGTAAGGTGTCGACACAACAAAATGTTAGCGCTTCCAGGCGTTCGCAGGTAAAAATGGTTTCTATTCCAGTCCCTTATAGGACGCAGTTGCAAGATGTTAATATGCATGTCGCAGACAATAAACGCACCGGAACAGGCAGCATTACTGAGGTACCGCATACACGGCCAAGTTACAATTAAGAGAGCGCCATAAAACGAGCTTGCTGTCGCAACTTTCTTTAGACGTAAAGTTGAGACTCCATCCAGAATCGACCAGCGAAGCATGGGCAACTAGTTGGTGTCCAGCCCCCCCCGTCGCGCACCTGTGAGTCGCTAACGTGCGCCTTGGGCAACCATAGCTTTTTAACGCATAAGATGCTTGCATCTTTCGACAATTAAGCTGTCCAGCCGCTGTAGTTTACGATGGTATACCTTGCACCGTTCGGCCTTTGCACGCAACAAGACCCATTAAGTCCAGGTTGAATGCTCTCAGTATTTAAAAGCGCAAGGTGGGATTGTACATGAGGGCCGTATCTCGCTGATCTTGTAGAGGGCAAACGCCCCCAATCCAAATGTGGCCCCTGGCCTTGATCACGAATATGCATTAATATATGCACATTTATGGTATGCGTCGATACCAGCACCAGTACAAGTTACGAAATGAAGAGCTCCTTTACATAACAAATGACGGTCTCTGGTACGGCCTGCAAAAGGATGGATTCTCTACTTGCTCATTGGTGCAATATTAGGCGCAGCCATCATCTTGCTTACGCTAAGATGCTCATGTCTACCTAGCGAATATCGGTACATAGCTAACGCCTTAGTTCATCGGCAGTACGTAAACCTCTAACTTGCAACGAAAGTGACTGCTGACGACGACAGCGCACTGCACCCTTGCAGGACTTTCAATGTAGCGAAGATGAACAGGGCTGTTCAACATGCGTATTTGTATTGGGTCTCATACTCCTGTTGCCTTGCTTCAGACTGGTGAGATACATGCGAGGAATGCAGCAGTTACTGCGAACCGTTCAACCGTCAGGTGCAGGCGTAAGGAACCGCGGTAGAGGCGGTGCTACGCATGCCAGTCCGATGGGAAGCTATGGCTTGCATTGAATCCAACGTTATTTAATTCATGTCTCCAAGGTGTGAGATCCAAAGAACCCTCGACAGGCCTTTCTAGGCTCCCAGTATCCATGATGTCCCCATAATAAAGCATAAAAAACGCATGTTGAGCTGCTCCATATGTAACATCTGGCATGGGAAACCGGTCAGACCCTAACGGCTCAATACTTTCGCACCGTGTACCGGCATCACCCGAAATCTTAGGTATGAACTCTCAAGCTGGTGGCCTTCTTTTTGTGGCGTTTTGTTGCCCATATCAGTACGTACCATAAGAAGCATCTGTGAATAACTCGATGATGTATTGGAGTAATCACGGACCCCTTCCCACCAGAGCAGGTCCTGGATGGCCACGCGATGCCGGGCAAGAACCTGATTCTAATTCAGGTTTAGATATATTTTTGCAGCGGGAATTTATGGTTGGTGCCTCGTGCTTGTTGCTTATGCTTGTTGCCTCGTGCTTGTTATCTCATGTATGCATTTGACGATCTTCTGACGATCTCTCTGCGTTTGGAGCCTGTCTACAGGCTTCGAACGCAACTGCACACGTACACAGTGCGTATACCCACCTACCGACTTTGTTCGGGCTGCGTACCCCACCACGTCTCCGACCAAAGGCTACTTACAGCCTTGCGCAGGCCTTTAAGCGCAGCCATTCTGCTGCTGCTGCTGCTGCTGCTGCTGCTGCTGCTTTGTATTTTGCACATGCCTCACAGCGACATGCGCCCAGGCCGCAACATGGCACAGACAAGCTGCTTTGAACGCGATACCAGTATCGTCGGCTCAGGCGGGTTGATGAACAGATGAAACCGCTGCGGGCAGTAGCTGTGCCAGGATTTCAATGAATCTGCAGAATGGGCAGGGAAGCGTCCTATGGACAGGACAAGATGGGCTCAGAGGGGGAGCACACCACTGCACTCCACCGCCCATATCCCGGCAGTGTCCTAACGGCCCCCTTCTCCTTCCGACCGGATGCGTTTGCAGCTCCCGAGGAACTGCCAGCCCAGCCCCGCACCGCACCGCACCGCACCGCCCCGCCCCGCCCCGCCCCGCATCGCCCCGCCCCGCACCGCCCCGCCCCGCCCCGCACCGCACCGCACCGCACTGCTACTGGACTGGTTCCCACACCGGCGGTTCAGTGTGAGGCAGTGTGAGGCAGAGGGGCGCAATAAGGGTCGACTTTTCACATTCCCGGGTATCCCTCGATCAGCGCCTATCCGCATCTTCATTCAGTGGACCACATGCCCCGCTGTCCGCACTCCCGTGACCAGCCCCCATTCCGCATCTAACCCAATTGCATCCCTCCCTGTCAGGAGGGCAGTGTGAGGCGGCGGCGCACCCCGGCGTCCGTCTCCTCCTCTCGACAACATGTCCCCAGTCCAGTACAGAACACGGGCGGCTGCCTGCGGGCGCCACATTACTCCACACCACACCACACCACACCACACCACACCACACCACACCACACCACACCACATTACTCCACACCACACCACACCACACCACACCACACCACACCACATTACTCCACACCACACCACACCACATTACTCCACACCACACCACACCACACCACATTACTCCACACCACACCACACCGCACCACACCACATCATATAATATAATATTCGGAGCCCCGAAATGCCCCCAAGGGAGCGGCGCGGTTGTAAGGGTGGGGGAGAGGGATTGAGGGAGAGGGGAAGAGAGGAAGACGGAGAGTAGCTGCGCCACAACTTCCACACCTACTGCACGGGGGAAGCTTCAGACGAATCTCACACACACACGACTTTTACTTACGGGGGGGAGGGAAATGTGTACGGCATGCTCGGCACATGGCGTAGGGCGCTGTCTGGCGTTACAACGGAGCGTCTAGGTACGACAACACACATACACTTACGTACATACATACACCAAACGGCGCCCACATTTTACCCCCTTTCAAAAGACGAGTCAAAGACGCGAAGTACATCAGGTCCAAGAGCACATCGTAATCGTTCAGCCATACCGTACCGTACTGCAAGGAATGTCAGTTGTCGTCAGCTTTAAAGTTATGGTACAGCAAGCAAGTCAAAACGTAGTCAGTTAATTAAAACGAATGGTCAGAAAACACACACGAATAGGTAGGTAGACAGGCAGACAGGTACACCAAGACGTCAAAGCAAAGACGAACAAGGCAGCCAACTAACTGAATTCAACTAATTCCCAACCCCCTACCACTGAATTCAACTAATTCCCAATCACGCACACACATACGAGCACACACACACATACACACACACACACGCACACACACACGCACACACACGCACACACACACACACACACGCACACGCACACACACACACACACACGCGCACACACACACGCGCACACACACACGCGCGCACACACACACACACGCGCGCACACACACACGCGCACACACACACGCGCGCACACACACACACACACACGCACACACACACACACACGCGCACACACACACACATACACACA